CGAAAATATTTGCTATGCATTGCTGGAGGATTTGGAGACTCCAAAATATATCTTCGACTTTAGCCGCTTGGTCTTTGCGTGGCGAAGAGCACATCAACTCTGTCACGGTACAGTCAGCAACAATGCATTGTTCTTTTGCCACCGTGCTGCCTTGCTGGGGCAGACCTTGTGTGATACCGTCCAATCAATAGGCCTTTGTCCTTCCTAACGGACCTAGGTGAAGATATGGGTCCTTGAAATGCTCCTTCCTTCACCGACACCCTACCGAAAAACCGGATGGCTTTGCCGGCTTAGTGGTAGAGTCTATATGTTTGGGAGTTGCGTTTTTTCGAGTTGACAGGGAGACTCTGTGAAACTCCCCCAAGGCTATTTCGAAGATGTTCTCTTCCCGAGCTGGGTGGATTTCTTCCGCGTCAAAGATGGCTTTGCCTTCAATGCGTTCGGAAGCTGCAAGTCTGAGAATCGGACCATCCTATGCCCGGCCTCAATGTATGGCTCCACTGATATGGTTTATGCTTATTTCGCTGTTGGGTTGCTGGATGAGCTGCGCAAGAACCAGGTAAAGAAGCTTGGACACAATCATGAGTGCAGGCCATGGGCTTCTATACTCAATCCAGTTTCCCAATCAGGTACCTCCAAAGACACCTTTCAGAGCTTCCCTCACAATACGGAGCCCCTAGTAGCGTCCTTGCTCCTAGTAGCGATGCCCTTTGCTCCTAGTACCGTTAAATTGGTACCGTCGAATAGTCTTGACAGCGTGGACATGTCAACTGAGTTTCACTGAGGGCATGGGCCAAGCAGATCCAGCAGTTTCAAAATCCTGCGACGGGGCGCTTCCAGTCAAGCCCTGGGACGCTTGGGCGATCGAATAGATGGGAAACTGGGGTTGTTTGCTGGTAAAAGCATGCACCTTAAGGAACCTAGTAGCGTTGTTCCTCCAACCTACTAGTGATGGTCTCCAACCTCGAAGCGAAGTGCTGGAGTTGTGTTCTGGTTGTAAGAAATTGTTTTTGCGTAGTGTAGTTGGGCTGACACATGGAAACAAGAAGCGAACGACGACAAAGTGGCTTATGTCGAGGATCTCACAACCAATCGATGTGCCTCACCTTGGGATCTTGCAAACATCTAACATCTTGGCGGGCCAGATGATCCGATGAGCGGAAAAAAAGGGGAGTCAAGCATACGCCAACCACCGTCGCCCAACCGTTGACGGATCCTTCCGGACCCCGTCGGCGCCACGAGGCCTGCCGAAGCACAGCCGTGGCACGCCTTGGCGCAAGCGACGGAGGCGCTCCACGTGTTGGGTGAGGAGCCCTTGTGGCCGATGGAGGACCTGAAGACGCTGAGCGCCAACGCATCGGCGGCTTGGTCATTGTTTTGACACCCATTGGAGTGGTCCAGGAGTCCAGGGGCTGCCGGTGAGACATGAGATGAAAAACTTGAAACGGGAGCAAGGAATGATGGTGCAGTGAGCTGAAAACAGATGTGCACTGCAAGACAGTGTGTGTTGCACACTCTTGGGCAAAGTGCATACCGTGGGGTCAAGGAATGGGGCAAAAGAAGTGCACTACTGAGACTAAATGCTTACACGGAAGATGCTACAGCTAAACAACGTGGAGTAACATCACATTCATCCAGCAGCCTACTCCTGTTGCACCCAAAACAACAACTCTCAGACTCTCAGGCCATGAAGGACTTCGTGCGCTTGAACCTCCTGGCATCTTCTGACGTCCGGCGCTCCTCGGCCTCGCTGCAGGCGCCGCCGGGCATCGTGCAGATGGCGCACCTGCTGCGCTGGGCAACGCCGATGCGCAGGGTATTTGCCGAGCCGTACCAGGCTTTGGTGGAGCAGTGGTTCCAGGAGACCGGAGCAAACCAACAAGCACCGTTTTTTTGGAGGTGATGTGGGAAGAAAGTACTTTGATCATCAAACTGACGAGCTTTTCTTGCCCGGATTAAAAGTGTTCAAAAAGCTTCTGGTGGGCTGTCGTTTTTTTGGCAGCCCGCAGCTGAACCCGACCGTGGAAGGAATTGGACAAGCTCGTGGATCCGGCATCGGGCCTGTGGCGTCTTGCTTGGAAAACCAAACTAACATTTTTTGAGTCTGTGGAGGCCGGTGATTGTCGTGGCAAGAAGCCGGTGTTCCTTTACCGGGTTGGTCATGTGTTCTTCAATCTTGTTGCTTGGCATTGCTTGGCAATAAAGCTTGTTGAAGATGTGAGGTTTGCTTGGTCTGATGACCCTCGGAATGCTTCGAGCAGAAGCTTGGCAATGAATTGGTAAAAATTGGCAATGATATCAAAGAGCCTCAAGTGACACCAAGCTGGGTTAGCCCCTCTACATTGCAACTTGTCACAACATGCTTGCTCAACCAATCTTTCACCAACACTCAGGAAACAGTTAAATTCCTGCATTCTGTTACGATTGGCCATGGCTCGCATCACAAGCATCAGATTGATAATTCTTCAGTCGTGCGCCAGGAAGCTATGAACAGCTGCCTTCCATCGATGCTTTGTATTCATCCTTTCACATACTCCATGTCTACGAGTGCTTTAACCGCCCCTGGCAGCATCCCAAGAGGCTGGTAGATGCGGCCCTGCAGTTGCAGCGTGAGGACCAACCTTTGCTGACTGGGTCTGTGGAAAATCCATCCCCAAAATCGTGAAGCTAAGGAGATCATCAAAACCCATTGCGTTGTTGCTTGTCATCAACAACTCATGAAGTTGAGAGGGAACTTATGATTTTTTGGTGAAGGGTTTCCGAGCCACGCTGTCGAGTCTATCCTACCCCTCGCCAAATTCAGAACATGGATCGCCAATGACATTCAACCAGCAGGGCATAGTGGTCATAGCCTCTGAGCCACTACAGGCGGACTTTACCCATTTACATCCATTTACCAACACAGGTTCCTGCCATCGAGTCCACTCAGGCACTCCAAAATCAAGCCGCCCCCCAAAGCAAGAGGGCCATGCTGAAGGTGAATCATTCTGGGCAGCACTGAACCAAGGAAGCCAAGTCTACATTCAGCCAGCCCCTCTTTGATCTGACTCCAAACATAAACAGTATGGGCGCGGAGGCTTTGACAAAATGGCTCGTCCGTGCTTCCTTCCCTTTGCAGGACGGTTTGTGGTCCTCCATGCCCTCCAGCAGCACCGACCTCGGCGGCGTTTACATCGCCATCCACGGCTCCCGTCAGAGCGGCGGTTACCGCTGGGCGGACGTGCGGGAGATGTGCCGGAAGTACCTGCAGAGGGCCTCCAGTGGCTTGGTGGAGAGACGAGAATTGAGGACGGAGGCCATCGCTAGTAGGATGGAGTTGAGAATGGAGGCCGTGTGATTGCCGACTTTCATCAGAAATCACACTGACTGTAGCAAGGGGTGCTGCACTGTAAACTGGCTGAGGTACACAAGGGTGGTTTGTAGTAGTTTGCGTGGATCCCCATGCCTACTCGACCCTACTTGCCTAGTACGAACCCGCGCAGGCTGTATGGGTTTAGTTCTGGATGAACTCGGAACGAGCGAGGCTTTTTGAACGATGAGACATGGATCTTTGGCAGCTATGCCAAGGAGGGATTACGGGGTGAGAACATGTCAAAAAAAAACAGCTGCTATCCTTTGGCTTTATGCGGTTGTTTGCATTCCTTTTTTGTGGATAGTCAAGATTCCTGAGCTGCGCATCTGTCGGTTAATGTCAGTGCCGTTCCAAGTCATGTGAACATCACTCACGCTGAGAACTGCTTTGGCCAGTGCTTTGGCCCACAAACGTAAACACAAGACCTTTCAGATGTGCTTCAGCCTAATGTGTTTGGCGTGTTATTTTTTCTTGGGCACAACTTGTTTTTTGTAAAGACCAAGCACCAGCAGACCGAAAGAACAAATGAATCAAAAAGAATCAAGAAGGGAGCAGGAGACTCATGACTCAACAACTTAAACAAAGACCCAAACATCGACAATCCAAACCAAAGTCCCACCAAGCTGCACCAGATTGCCTTTCTGTGTGCCTGGCAGGAGCAAGGCACTCACTTGCTCTCTGGACCGCTCTTCGCCGTGGCCGAGTGTCAGATCCACTTCCCGGAGCTCCACGTGAAGACGCGGCGGCCCTGGCGGAGGAAGCGCGGTGCCTGCATTTACGCCTGACGAGAGGCACGAGGGCCCAGGGGCACGAGTGGATGCTACTGGGGTAGCAGGAACCATGCGGAGAGAGGTGGTTGTGTGTCAGTGGCTGTTGCAGGCTGTTGCTGGCTTGAAGAGGTGAGGAATCTGTTGGTTTCAGGTGCCTAGAGGGCCTACAACATCCTGCAACTCATGAAGAAGATGAGACAGATGATAGGGGCTGGTGATGATAAGGTTTCACAAAGATCTTTTTGCCATAAGCTTGCTATGGTATCGGCCTTCACTGATTCAGGATCCTTAATCCCTCAAGCAAGCCAGAGTGATTCTGTCCAGGCCGAGAGCCATCATGCCACTGGACAATATGTACAATATGTCTCACCGTTCGCCACGGACCTGAGTGAGCTGGGCCTTTCAATGTCCAGCCGTTACGCGACAGACAAATGGCATTGGTCTTGATTCATGGGAGCCTCATGGAGAGTCAATCCCATGCTTGGGCTTCTGGTTGGTCAACTGCTGTGTGCAAAAAGCAAGTGGGGCGCGCTGTGTGGCAAGAGCTTCATAGAATCAATATCGAGCATCAGGGTGAGCTACAACGGGTAGGTGGTTTTGGCAGTGGCTTCCAGTGTTTGCAAGTTTCGTCACGTGATTGTGGAAATCCTTCCTCAGCCAACAGTCAGCAAGCTCAGAAAGCTGCTGATAAGCCGAGAGTCGAAAAATACGAAGTTATTTCTCTTGAAAACAGAACGAGACCCAAGATCAAGAACAAATCAAATGAGCTACAAACAACCACGAAATACCGAAGTTTTATTCGTCAAATGAGCTAAGAAACAGCTTCAAAGATCCTCGATAGTCACACTGACCGACCCGTCGACGGCCCGTCAACGCAGGACTGCAACTTGCCCAAACAGCCAGTCTCGAGCCAAGCCGGCCAAGCGAGTCTACAGAGATAGAAAGAGACCGAATCACCAAGGCTTCTGCAAAAAAGGCAACAGACTGCTGACATACTGCTGACTTTCTGACTTTCTTTCACCCAGTGGGGGGGTTTGGGACGGTTTTGCTCTGGCAGGTCGCTGCCACGGCTGCTGGGTGCACAAAGGGAGCCTCCACGAGAGCCTGCCAAGCCGGAGGCACCAGAGGCATCGGAGGTAGTAGAGGCCAGCGGGGGTCGGGGTGAGCCAGGGGGGCGGTGTGCTCCCGGTGTGCGGCTTGGGCGATTGGGATTGGTTTGGTTCGGTTTTCCAGGCATCTTGACATGGTGGAATCAACTCATCTCATGATGCAGTGGTCTTTAGGTTTCTTGATTTGTGTGGCTTGGTGTGCTTCAAAGTCTGTAGGACTTGAAACACTCAAGAAATGCGTTGCGGCATGTATTTCCCAAACATGTTACCCACTAGCTCGAACAAACATTGTGCAGTGTGACACAGTTGACCCTTGGCTTTATGTTCTTCAATGATGCGGCTGCTCAGACCGCTGCAACATTCACATGAGCTTTGTTTCGTGTCCAGCCGTTGATCCACACCTTTCTTGCAAGGCCTCCACGAGCCGTGAGTTGCGGCGAGAACTGCTGGAGGCTGCAGCTGTTGTGGACCTTTTGGTCACGCGGCCGAGTCTTTTGACATGATGTTTGCTCGGACGAGCAATACAGGTTCGCTACTAGGAACAAGTGCATCGCTAGTAGTAACAAGTGCCTTACTAGTAGTAACATGTAGTAACAAGAAGCTATTAGAAACAAGAATTAGTAATTAAGTGCTCTTGTTGAAACAGACATGCACTCATGCACGCGGCCAGCAAGCATAGCACTGGGTTGCTAGGGCTTCAAAAGCCCGAAGCAGCCGAAGCATGAGTGAATCAAGAAAATCCATGCAAAAATCCTCCAGGTGCTTTCAAATCCCAATATCCGCAGCATTGCGACCAAGTGCCAACCAGCAATTGACTTGCATCATGCTGTTTGCGGGGCATGAAGAGTGGAGATGTGGGGGCAATGTAAGAGAAGACCCCTTCACTTTGCTCTTTAAGCTAAGCCGTCCCTTAGGGCAATGTGCAAAGTCCTTTTGATCAATAAGCCTTGAACGGGTGAATTTAAGTCCCTCTCCATTGCAGGTACTACCAAGCTCAGCTTCCAAAGAAGAGCCGCCTGGGTTTTCGCGACCTGCGGCAGGTGCTCAAGGCGCTTGGTACCAAGGGTCCATCCGACATGTCCATGTGAGCATGAACATGCCCGATGTTTTTAAAGAAATCGCCAGAAGCAAGGCGCTGGAGCCTCCACTGAAAGCGATGTTCCTTTGACTTCTTGGGAAAGCAACTGCTGGCCTCCTTTTTGTGCCCCAAAAGCTGTTGCCTGCCAAATTGCAGCTCACAACATGTCCATGCCGAAACAACAAGCACCGCCCTTCTTCAACCAGATCCCTAATAGTGCAATGCAGAGATTTTGGGGTGGTAAATGGCTGGACATGGCCCAAGCCTCACTCCTTCACCTTGTCCAGCCATAACGGATGATAGTGGCATGCTTTTGAAGTCCACGAACAGGCGCTGAATGAACACTTGGGGCTTCCGCTGCCCACGGCAGCGGCTGTTTGGAGACCTATGCAATTCTCGAGGGGTCTCGAGGGAGTTTTGAACTCGGTTCATTCCGTACATCTTTTTGAGTCTGTGGGACATGAGCTGTCACAGGCTATGAGCGTTAAGAGTGTTTATCTTGGACTTGTTCTACTGTGGGCAAAAGACTGAATCAAGTCACCAGAAGGGAGTCCCGCACACGTGGCTCTCACCACCCAATCATTCCTATCCAGCCATTCACCTTTTGAAGCTAAGACCCCGAAAACCTTTGATTTGTTCAATCATGAACAGGGTTTGACCTCAGATGACTTAATCCATTTTTCGAGTTGCGGCTGGCAGCCCAAGGCAGAACAGCTGTTCAAGCGCCTTGCACCCAGCGAAAGAAGACGGATCCGTGCAGATCAAATTCAAATCCAAATGGAAAGAATCCAAATGGATAGCTTCTTGAACTTCTTGATGTTTCTTGCTTCTTTCTGAGAAAGTGTGACACATGGCTACAGTTCGACCAAAATGATTTCACCGCACTCCGCTTTGCCCAATATCATTAGATGTCGCAAGTGATAGTTATCAGCTGGAAAGGCAGAAAAGACGATCTCTGACAAACAACAGATCGCATCAACAATCCCCACCACACTACACACTACGGACTTACATAATTACGGTGAACCATTCGCAGAGAAAACCTCCAGCAACTTGGATCACCGGTTGACACGTCAATCCGCCCCCGACTTCGCTTAGCATGGCAGACCTCCTTCGACCCGACTTGTCGCCCTTCGGCGTGGTGGGCGCCGACGCGGCGGCTCCCCGATGGTTGGCAGCGGCCTTGTGCGGCTTTCCGGCGGATTGGCATTGCTCAGCGGAAGAAGTGAAGGAGGTGACGTGCTGTGTGAACCCTGTGAAGAATGAGTTCTCCATCGTGGAGGACTTAGACATGGTGAAGGGAGAGGTGAAGAGATGGCTAATACCTTTTGAGAAGTTCCATGTGGTACCTCGCTTTCATGAAGAGTCTCGGTCTCATGAGTTGATCCTTGGGCAGACATCATTGGTGATCAACTTCGACCCATGGAAGGTGTCGCGTGAAGATGACACAGCAGAGCCTCCCCTGAGTTGTACAAAGCCTTTTGATATTTTGGTTTTACAATCCCCAGTCTTGTCTTTTTGAGAGCTTGGTCCATTTGTTGAAGGGGTGAATTGTTCAACCCTCCATTTTAACAACATATCGACATGGGTGCATATGGGCTTCGGTTTATGCAAAGAAGAGAAGGGGAGAAGTCCAGGTGGACTATGTAGTGACTAGATTCACTGTAACTTGAACCGCAAGAACTCCAAGCACAGCAAGCCCAGGAGCTGTCCGAGGAGATGGAGAGGTGTGCCCAACAAGATGAGGAAGAGCTTGCGAAGTTCCTGTTTGACGTCCAATCAGTGTGGCAGGCATCCCTTGTTGAGGGCATGCTGTCTCCACAGATGTGGGAAGTGGCGCTGGCATTGGTTCAGGCTAAAAGGCTTCTGGAGAAGGGCCGTCTCTCACCTGATGCCTTCCGTGGTGGCATCGAGCAGCTTTCCAGCGATTTTGCCACCAAGCTCGGTCGCTTGCTATGCTGCATTTTTGATATGGAAATGCTTTCTCTACCAACAACAGCATCACCAGGGAGGGCTGCTGAAGCAGCAGCAGCCTGTCGCGATTTCCAAAGGCAGAACGAGCCTTTTTCAGAAGGAGAGGCAGCAGCAGTACACCTAATAGCAGCAGCAGCAGCAGTACACCCAATTTCAATAGCAGCAGCAGCAGCAGCAGCAGCAGCACCAACAGCAGCAGCAGCAGCAGGAGCAGCAGCACCAACAGCAGCAGCAGCAGCAGCAGCACCAACAGCACCAACAGCAGCAGCAGCAGCAGCAGCAGCAGGAGCAGCAGCACCAACAGCAGCAACAGCTGCAACAGCAATGGCAACAGCAGTAGGAACAGCATTAATGGCAACAATAGCAGCAGCAGCAATGGCATCTGAGATCATGTTTGGTGGGTGTAGGGAAAGAGAACCAGCTGCCGCACATGAAAGCGAACAAGCACTCGAACAAGCAACTCAGGAGTTGAAAAGTCTCCGGGCGGCTTTTTCACAATACACCGGCACTTCTCTTGCTGCTTTGCTCAACAACCACGGCTTTCGGCATCCTCTACTAGACCCCGTCGAGGGCCAGTTGTTGCTGAAGTACCAGTTGCTGTGGTTTTTGGGTTTGATGCTGGTCGAGATCTCGCTCAAGTTCTCACTCTCAAGGCTCGAAGAGTTGGGGTGCGATTTGTGCAGGGTGGCCAGAGGCTTCTCCACAGATCCAGCGTCGCTCACATGCTTGCAGGGAAAATTGGCTGATGCATTGGACTCATCAGACCCTTGGCGGTTGAAGGAATTTCCACATCTCTGTGTCTTGGCGAAGCATGCTGCAAATTTTTTGCAAGCTCTGTGCTCAGCTCATGATGAACAAAAAGAACGAGTTGAACGTTCCTTATGCAGGATCCGCTCAGCTGTTGAAACGATGGGCAGTTTCTTGGAGGTGGCTGTGGAAACGCTGCAAGAGTTGGAGCGGGACTTCGTTTGCACACATGGCCGAAAATGCATTCAAAAGCTCAGACAGGATAAAAGCCTGCTGGGGATTCACATCGAGAAGTTGGATGAAGACACCTGTCTTGTTAAGATGAAGTATGAGGGGGATATGCTGTCAATGAGTCGAGCCGAGGTCGACAAGATAGGCCAAACGGCCAGGAATCGCCTAATGCTGGCTATAAAAGACTTAGTCGGTCTCAGTGACGATAGTGATGATTTGTTTGATGCTAAAAATGCAGGCAAGTGGAAGTTGCGTGCAGTGGCGCAGTCGCCCCCGAGTGATGATCGGAGTTCCAAGGACATGAAGCCCATTGGCAAGCCTGATGCTCAAACCGCAAGCAAGTTCCAGTTGCTTGCAGTGCCACAACCGCCCCTGGATGTGCGAGTCATTTGCTACAGCCCAGGATCTGTGGAGGTGGTCTTGATTGTTGGAGGTTTCGCTGTGGGGGTGCTGGCTTGCGCTGCCTGGCATTGGTGGTACCCATCCAGCAAACATCAAGAGCCGACAGCAGAGATTCGGCAAAGCCTGCAGCATGTGCACAACACCATGCGCTCCCATGCCCGTGGAGACTCATCCAATTCGACGGCCACTCCATCATCCGGCTCGGGTAGCTCCACCCCAGATCTGGAAGGGCCCATAGTTGAGTCCACAAGGCCAAGTGGGCCAAGAGTCACAGAAGCTCCCAACCGCAGGTCCTCAGCTGAGTTTCTTTTGGCAACGCAGGTGCTGCAGGATGTCCACGCAATGTTCCCGAGCAGGGGCGAAATTGAACTCACCAATCTCTTGGTGGACCAACGATCGGCCTGCTGCCAAGATGTATGGAACACATGGCGAGTGCCAGAACAACATCGAAAGGCCATCGAACACTATGTGACACTTTTCTTTGCCGGCTTGGTCTTAGTTAAAGAGGAGCCTCGAGCAAGGGAGGTGGCCTCACAGAAGAAGATCTCCTTTACAAGGCACCGCATGATCGCCAGCACTTTTGGTCAGTTCAACCCCACTATGACCGACTCCAAGTGATGGAAAGATTGGGCAACGAATTGTACAGTCTAGGAAAAGACCTCTCCACCGAGCCACAGCACCTGGACCGCGTGCAGAGGGAGCTTGCTGACGCTTTGGACGGAGATCCTCGCATTTTTGAAATCCTAACCCGTCGTGCAGGAAACGAGTTTCCACACATGCTGCCCTTGGTGCGGCAAGCTCGAACGGCTTTGGACGCTCTGTGCTCAATTTTCAGTGTCAACCAAAGGCAAGAATCAGGGTGGAACAATTTGGTTTCTAGTTTGCAGAGGGGCGCAGCGCAAGAGATTGGCAGCACGATGGTGCGGATCCTGTTCAACCGGCTTCGGCTCATTTAGAGGGACCTGAATGATCCTGCATCCTGCCAACTGAGCCTTGCTAGGCCTAGGCGCCAAAGTTTTGCAATAACGAGATGTAACGAGCATGTATCGCCAGGGACGTTTCTTGATCACCAGTTAACAGTCCTTTCTGTTCAAAACCGCTTATGGCTCGCATTTCGAATCGCGATTCATGCACTTTCACCCCCTTGAAAACAAAAGTGAAGCGCAGTGAGCTGGAGGGGATAGCAATTAGAACATTCGGCCGGAAATCGCGGCATGGGCGGACTAGCTGCCAAGAAGCCGCCAAAAGCCCAGACGAGATCCAATGCTGCCTATCACAAAAGACATCGACATCCACAAATGAGTTCACTTTTTTTTGTTTCTCTTGGGCTCTGTCTAAGATATGTCTATATGGTGGTAGTAGGCAGCATTCCACATAAGATGGGATCCTGAAACAGTGGTGAGTGTGTAAAAAGGTGTCCCGTTTTCCAACACAGCATATCTGTAATTCTTCTGCCTTGGAGAGAGTGTGAACATGAATGAAAATGGCTCTGCCAACTGTGCAAAAACTCTTGAGAGCGATCATTGGTCGTTCCTGCACTGTTCCCCCAACTTGCAGCTATAGCTCGTGTTTCAGCTCCCACCCAAGCCTCCTTGATCAGCGCGTGACATGGCAGCTCGAGCCTCTCCTGCCGCTGCTGGCTCCCCCAGCCTGCTGCAATTGGCCGCTGCCAGCGTGGCCGCGGGCGCCGCGGTGGCCGTCGTGGCCGCTTCGGGAGCGATGAACACTTTCGGATCGGGAAAGAGGATGGAGACCTTAGCGGCTTTCGTGTCAGTGATCCGAAATCCTGTTCTCATGGGAGGCGTGGGAGTTGTGGGATTGGTGGTTGCCTTCCAATCGCTCTCCTTCAACGAAGCCTTGAGGGCCTTCTCCTTCGCTGCTGTGCAGGGTGCTGGATCAGCGGTGGGGCACAGTCTCATGCGAGGGATTTGTTAGAAGAAGGTGGCAGAGTTTGGGAGGTGAGTCGGCATGCTGCGAGCTGGTTCGCACCACAACCCTCTTGCCGCCCTTGCTCTTTCACAACGGGCTTCGGTTTCGCTATCCGGACGGGGATAGCAATGCTTCTGCACATTGCCATTTGAGCGTGAGTGAGCATCCTACCCGCTTTGCAGATGTTTAGTGCTTAGCTGGAGCTTCACAGTCAGGCCTGGCCTTAACGTTTTTGCTTAAGTATCTAAACCCAGTTTGAACATTGTAAGTTGCATAGTGCATTGTCTACCGCGGGGTGGCGCACGGCCTGTGAAAGCAGTATGACATGCGTCAAGCTGAACTGCTCGCGAGGGAATTCATCACTGGCAGGGGAGTGGTTTCAACTGAAACTTTCAGTGTTACTTAAATGCGGCATCAGCACTGATGTGTGTTTGGTGAATAATGCTGTTTGCCCGGCCATGTGATGTGACATCATAGTTGCCATCGTTCCAGCACGCCATGACAACAGGCTTCGAAAATAATAGCATGGCACCAGCGAGTTGTTGGAGTCATGCCGAAGTGGTGCTGGCAATGAGAAGCCTTAGCTCACTTGCGCCCGAAGAATCCTTCAATCATCTTCAATCCAATGCAGAAACGTTAGATAATCTTTCTGCGACCCAAGGTGTGGGTACAAACTGTTTGCTTGCAGCCCCTTCAGCCAAGGCTACGACTTCAATGGTGATGGCGACTTGAGCTTTGAGGAGTTCTTCGAACTCTTTGTCTAAGAGCCCAGATACAGGGCGCCTCCATCGCCTTTTCCCAGAGACCCTCACAGACAATTAAGGATTCTCCTCCTTTGGGTTTTGCCACAGGAATAGATCTCGCACAGTCTGAGGTCTCTGGCAAATAACTGCATGCTCATAGCAAGAAACCTTCACATTTGAGTGGCTCTACCAGTTGCGATTATGTTGGTTTGACCTTGTACCTACAATGTTTGAGTTTGGTAAGGTCTTGAGGGTTTCGTGAAAGCCCTTAAAGCACTGAGATATCGTTAGTCTTGGAAAGGCAACCTTTAGAACCGTTTTGCGACCCCTATTGAAAAAAGAACCTAGAGCAAAACAGGTGATACATTATACACGAATTTGCACGAATTTACAAGAAACTTCAGGCAAACAACCGTGAGTCATTCACAATGTAGGACCAACCAGCGTGGAGTTTAAGGGGCGTTCCTTCGATTGAGGTGACTTCCTTGCGACGGGCCGCCTTTGATCGGTCCGGCTCTGAGAGACGATCCAAGTGAGGTCTAAGTGAGGTCCATATGCATCGACGTGAACAGGAAGGGTGCCTGGTTTGCTTTGCAATAGGTTCAATGACCTTTGTTGCTAGCATCAATTTGTAGCAATATCTGAATTCCAACTGAGGTCGGTGCTCTTGGGGCGAGAGATCTTTGTAACCCAGGAGCCTGGCAAGGCCTGGCTGAGTCCGCTCGTTGTTCAGAGAGCCACTCTCGGCCTTCAGCCAGTCATCCAGGAGAGTCATCACCTATGACAGACTTCCATCATACGGGAAAGGTCGATACGGACGCATGGTCACTCCCGACCACCTTCTCATACCTCCTTTAGTTGACCAAGGCGAACATGGTCGATGAGGGACATCCTCTGAAGGAAGTGTATGACCAATGAGGAGTTTGTGCAAGCCAGAGGTGGCCCGAGATATCATGAGAACACATTCGCAATCCTCCAACACAGTGGCCCGTGGCCACTACCTGTTTTCATGTGTTTTGCACACTGCACTCATGTCGAAGGTTTGGGAGATCTACCATCGTGTTTGGAACCCGAGCGCTCCAGAACCGTTGATGATCGATGCAATGATGCGATGATGCGATGCTGTTTGGAACCTCCGGATTCAACCCAAAGGGCTGGAAGCAACCGGAGAGGGAGCAACTGAAGTATCTCAAATACTGAATATTATTTGATTATGTCATTATGTCTATTGTTGTTCTTTTTTGTGCGTGTGTGTTACATCATGTTGACCCAATGGCCTCAGTGGGCATCAAAGTGATGAACTGGTGTCATCGCCTTCTTGAGGTCAAGACGTTGGGCGAAGGCTCCTTTGGACAAAGCCTCAGGGAGGCATCGCCGGCGCTCCACAGAAGAGAACGGCTCGGAAAGACTTCGGCTGTGCATGAGAACCCTGTTACTACTAGTAAGGCACCTGTTACTAGAAGCGATGCACTTGTTTCTA